GTGCAGCCATTTCTGGTGACGCGAGGCCGGCGGGAAGGGGAGGGGAAGGTGGCCGCCGCCGCTTCGCCTCAGCGACGGGGAGCGAGGGGAGGGCTTCGCTATCCAGCTCCTCCTCAGGGGAAGTCGGTGAGAATGACCTTAATTCGGCGGGTTTTCAACCCTTTCGGAGGTTTTTGGAGGTGTTTTCTTGCCTGCCTCCGCGGCGTGGATGGTTCAGCTTGCTTGCCACATCATCACAGAGTCGGGGAATCCCCTAGATTGGAAGGAACCTTGAAGATCATCGAGTCCAACCGTTGACCTACCCTGACAAAACCACCACTAAAACATGTCCCTCAGCATCACGTCTAACCCCCATCTTTTAAACACCTCCAGGGATGGCGACTCCACCACTTCCCTGGGCAGCCTGTTCCAGTGCTTGACAACCCTTTCTGTGAAGAAATTATTCCTAATGTAGAATCATGGAATGGTTTAGGTTGGAAGAGACCTTAAAGATCATCTCGTTCCAACCCCCCTGCCCTGGGCAGGGACACCTCCCCCCAGCCCAGGTTGCTCCAAGCCCCGTCCAACCTGGCCTTGAACACCTCCAGGGATGGGACAGCCACAGCTTCTCGGGGCAACCTGCCCCAGGGGCTCACCACCCTCACAGGGAAAAAATTATTCCCAATATCTCATCTAAATCTACATTCTTCCAGTTTGAAGCCATTCGCCTTCACCCTGTCACTACATGCCATTGTAAAAAGTCCCTCCCCAGCTCTCCTGGAGCCCCTTTAGGTACTGGAAGGCCGCAATAAGGTCTCCCTGGAGCCTTCTCTTCTCCAGGCTGAACAGCCCCAACTCTCTCAGCCTGTCACATCCATCCTAAACCTCCCCTGGCACAACCTGAGGCCGTTTGCTCTTGTCCTGTCACCTGTTACTTGGGAGAAGAGACTGGCCCCTACATGGCTACAACCTCCTTTTAGGTAGTAGTAGAGAGCGATAAGGTCACCCCTTATCATTGCCGTGCAAATGAGTACAAAAGCCTTGAGAAAGGAAGCTGTAGTTTATTGTCACACCGTTGTGCCCTGGGTCTCGATACTGCTGTCTGGATATCATACACAACGCAGGTATAGGAGGACAGACTGTATTTAAAGGTTGGCAAAGGACAGATGCTAGGTTTGGGAATAAGTGGCAGAGAAATCACATGAGTTTGCTGAAAATTGGGACTACCATGTTAAGGGAAATGTAAGGGCCAAGTCTTTGCAGTCTGTATTGGGGGTGTGTGTGTATTAAGGATTTTGGGGCAAGGATGGCCAGAAGAAAAAGATCACCAGGGCAGCCTGAGAGAGCTAGAAATAAGAAAAAGATTGGAGGAAAGTGGAACTAGCTGAAATGAAAGGGGGCTGGAATCAGATGTTTGAGGAGCAGGGACTGGAACAAATTAGGCAAAAAGAATAGTTTTGGAACAAAAAATTGGGCATAGCATAGAGACTAGACCATGGTGGGCCAGGAGGAATGGGAGAGAGACAGTATTAAGGAGGGAGACAGACAAGGAGAGAAGAGTTTATTTAGGGCACAGGACCTGAAAGGAGACTGCTTTTTTTGGAGGCATTATTTTCCATTGTTGTCACTTTGTGTCACCAGGAGTCCTTGCTGCCACCATGCTTTGTGAGACATGAAGGGGTTATTCCAGTTTTACAGATCTTAAGCTGAAGTGCAGAAATCTGTGTACAGTTGTGCCCCACTGCTGAACATCCAGTGTGAGATGCTTAAGACCGAATGAGGTGAGAATGAATGTGTGGCTGGCAGCTTCCTGCAGAGCAGAAAGGGAAGTTGTAAGTGGGCTAAGCAGAGAGAGAGAGAGAGAGAGAGAGAGAAAATCCAAACTAGGCTTACTGATGGCCTATAAAAGGTTTTGAGGTTAGTGAAAAGGAAATAGCATATAGTTTTGATATCTAGGCGAATACAAGCAATGTGGTTACTGTACCCAGCTAGGTTTTATTATTATTACTTTGTTGAAAGTAGGTTTTGAACTCTTGCAAATATGTTTGATAAGTTTCCGGTTATAGTGAGCTTATACAGAAACCAGCAGCTGATATTTTATTTATGAAGAGATTTTTTTAGGGTTCAGATTCATTGCACGAGACTTTGGTAAGGGGAAGTATAGAATAAGACTTGTAAATAATGAATTACTCAGAACAGCTGCAGTGATAGCACACTGTGCTTTACTCTGAGCGTGACACCGCTCTGGCAGTGGAGGTGTAATGCCAAGCTCCCTTCCCAACCAGTGAGGAAGGCTGGGACAACAGCCTGCTTAGAAAGGCAGCTGTAGACTTTGTACGTAAGGACAGTAGGGAAACATTTTTAGGTTCTGTCCCAGGAAGTCAGCTGCATCTCAGTAAATAAGAGACCTTGGACTGGCCTATTTTAGTGTCTGTCATTCGGAAAGATGCGAAAACGTGCTCAGCTGCAAGGGTGAGAGGATTTCTTAGGCACTGGTTAGAAACTGTTGCAGTAACCTTTCCCGGGGCGGGTGTAATCTGCCTTAAGAGACTCTATGACCACTGTAGCATTAAAACCAAGTGCTAAAAGAAACTCCTCAGAAGAAGTATCATATTTGTGAATGAGGAGCTATACGGCTAAGAGGAGCTACTGGTCAAAAAATCCGATATAAACTGACAAAAGCGTATGTTCACATACACTGCTTAGGGAAGAGGGAAAAGCTGTGTCATCTACAGGGCAATTAGATACCTATCACTTAATCTTTCTTTCTGGATTAAAAAAAAAGAACAGGTAGCACCAGAGCTGCTTTAACTCAAGGAGGATACTTGGATTACTTAATGCTGCAGAAGATGGGAGTTCCAGGTACAGCAGTCACCTGAAAAGGTCGTGAAAAGGGCAGAAATTAAAAGGCAAGCTACTGGGGGGAGAGAAACAGAACAAAAGTAGGGAAAACCCAGTCAATTTAGGACTATTTCTGTGAAGTAAGGAAGGGATAGATACTCCAGTGCAATGCAAGTTAGAACTAGGCATGCTTACCTGGAGCTAAGGATGGTCAGGCCAGATGCAGAAGACCTTAGGGGCTCTATTTTTGTCCATAGTGTGAGCTGCTCAGAAAAGTGGAAAGCTCTTTCCTTGTTCCTGAGAGGATTCAGAGAAAGAAATCACAGCCTTTCAATTGGATTAACTGTCCAATTTGTAAAAGAAAAACCCACTTTCATGTGGATGGTCATCATGTCCGGTGGTGGGTTCAGAGACAGCTGGCTGAATCACTAATGGCCATCTAATAGACTAAAACAACCACATATTTCTTTTCCTTCATTAAAGTTAACAAGAACTAGGTCTGTGTGGCAGAATCGGGGAGATGAATAGATCACCTCAACTTGAGCGTGTGTGGGTTTGCTTGTTTTTCCTCAGGCTTGTTCACTTTTCTGTCTTGCGAATGCTTAATGGATGGGCAGATGCCTTTTACACTGTGTGTTGGATATCAATTTTGGGTCCTCTAATGGGATGTGAACTCACACATTTTAAGTATTGAACGTTTGGGAACAGTTACAGCCTCCTTCTAAGGAGGGTATGATCTCAAAGTCATTTCTGGCCTGCACAGATCAGAACCGGGAATCTGGAAGCTGAAATGAGCAGTGCCACAATTTGTAATGTAGAGCTCTGGTTTCTGTAGAAGCAAATTCATTAGCTTAGATTGGTAGTGTTGTCTTAACTCCTGATATAACAATAGACATGATTTAAATGTAGGTATTTAAAGGTTATTGTGCCTGTTACATGAGATCATTCTGTTGTGTTTGGGTAAGGCCTCTTATTCCCTAGGAAACTGGGTGAATGATATAGATGTGAATACAGTAAAGCGGTCGGACATGCAGTCCTGACTGCTGTACAGAGTAGGATGATTCAGAGTGTGTAACTCGCCTGTGATGAGTAAAGATGACTGCTGCAGGCAAAAGGGTGGCATCCCTTTCATAGACCACCCCCAGCCCAGGCACTGAAAAAAAATTAAGTACTGGAGTGCTGCAGGTCCTGTTCCCCAGCTACATCATCTCCCTTGAATGGCAGCAGTTCGTCCAGTGCCTTAAATTTTCTTACAAAAGCCTTTTAGAAATTCTTTTTAGGGAAGTGGCCTTTTTTCAGTCTTGCATTCACAGTACCCTGGGTGTCTCTCAAGAAGTTCGTCTGTAAGGTAACTAGAGAAACAGGAATTCCTAAAGCATGTCAGACCATGAGGCGCATAGCCTACAGCCATATCGGTGGTTGTAACTAGTACCAAGTGCTAAAGCAGGAAGAAACCCCGCAGTTAACTTGTATTACAGTATTCCCAAAAAGCATTTCTTCTCACCTTTCAAGACATGCACGTGACTTTAATTGTACATCAGCCATGCTTCCATACCTTCAGAAACAAAATGAAACTGATTTATATTGTTTAACACAGTGTTTGTGTTGTTAGCCGTGTGCTACAAGTCAGGTTTTAATGCCTCACTTTTTGAGATGTTGTCTTGTTACTTGATTAAGAAGGTGAAAAACTTTCTAGTTTGCCGCTGATCATTACTTTCTATACTTCTATCTGGTATTTAAGGTGAACAGTTACAGTGTTTTCACAAAAGCCTTTTTTTCTGGCCCCTAGCAATTCTCATATGATGTGGGGCTTGAAATCTGGTCACAGCTTTCCAGCTGACGGTGTGCAAGAGGTCTGTCATTTTCAGTATTATTATTATTTGTCTCTCATTTTCATGCACCATTGTTTTCTGTTGCCCTCCCTCCCTCAAAGAAACAGGCATAACTAAGAGTGTTCAGTGAACTGTCCATAAAAACATCTGTGTCTCTCTGCAAGGACAGAGGAGTTATTTTAAAGCCTAGTAATCTGTATTAATAACTTTTAGTATTCACTCTAAGGATGTATCGCTTTGCAGTCAAAGCTACAGTCTTGACATTGTTGGGTTTGTCTTGCCACCCGTTCATGAAATACAGCTAAATTTTCTGAAATTGCATAGTCTGGTGTGGAAGAACCTAGATGTGTCACCTACACACTGTTCTACTTCCCTTTTTTAAAAAAATATTTATACACACCACAGATGGAAATATGAATTCCTTCAAAAAAAAATCAGTTTGTATGATTGTAGGGTTTTGGGGGTTGTTTTTTGCGGTTTTGGGACTATTTTGGGGTTTTTTTGAGCATTGCATTTCTGGTTAATGTCAAAGTAGCAGAAAGGTATAAATATCCTGTCATTACCAGAAAGCAGGAAAAAAACCCACAAAGGGCATTTTTATTACTGTGTTATTAGCACAAGGAGAGAAATTAGATTAGGCTGACACTCTTTTAAAATTCAGGCTTTTAGCATGGCATACTTAGGAAGTATGTAGCAGGAGGAAGTGAGTTTGTTTTGCCTTCTGAATGGGCCAAAAGCCATGCAGTCACATGAGCAAAAAGTTGCACCCAAGCTAGTAAAACAGCAGAGAGGTGTTGCCGTTAATTCCTGCTCATTTCAGTTTCAAATTCACTAATCTAGTCACACTATGACTGCATTCCAGATAAGATAGGCTATATATCCTGCTTATCGGGTGTGTTAACACTGGTCTCAGGGCTTGGGATCTGCATTATCATGGTCCCATGGTTTCTGATTGACTTAAGAATGGGCGGAGCAAAGCTCTCTTGCTCGGAGCTGAAGGGAGTGTACCAGGTTGGTGCGCATCTGAGCTTGTGAGGTGTTTCGGAGCTGAGCTGGAACAGTAGTACAATGGAAAACCTACAGAATATCATCCTTCTGTTTTCATGCTTTAATTGCTACTGGCACAGTGCAGCAACGTTGCCAGCAGTAAGAGTCAAACCCCTGTGTTAGCTCACTGCATCTCAATCTTTGGAGCCAAACAGGAAACCCGTGAAGCAGAATCTCTATGCAGTAAATTTTGTATATGATAGGAGACTTTTCTCTGATTGTACTTGAATTAATATTATATATAAGCAATGTTCTTAAAATTATTCCCCAATTTAAAATATAAATTATTACCTTTTTCAGGAAATCCAGTAGAGGAGACTTCGTATTTTCTGCTGATCGTCTGGTAGGTGAAGAAGTTCTTCTTCTTGGTATTGTACTTTGCAACTCTTCCATAAAATAGGTCTTTCAGGCTAGAATAATGGTGGCGAGAGCAACTTTTCTACACAAAAGAAATTGCCGTTTGACAGCAACTTTCTGTATAGGGACATCTGTGCTCTGCTATGGACTGCTTTCATCTCATAGGCTTCCAGAAACCATGTTATTATCAAACACAGCTACTTCAGGACAGAGAGCAGTAGTAATAAGAGAATACTGTTCAAAAACAGATGCACAAAGGCTAGAGATAATTCAGTTTTACTTTGAAACAGTACTTTTGATCTTTCGAACAGAGCTGTGCAATTTCTTACAGTCTAGATGTTAACAATTGCTTGCATGCAGAAGTGCCTCCTGGCACTTGTTGTGTAGTAGATTAGTAGCTCTGGGTGCATCCACACTGGGAATTTGGTTTTATCCACACCGTAGTTACTAGCAGGGACAAAGCAATTTGAAGTTTTCACACATTTTCCTAAGTCAGAACAAACACTGTTGGGAATGCAACATTTGTCTCATTTAAATTACATGCTTAAAGGAAACCACAGCGCTCACGCCCACACATATACTTCCTTGTATTCATGAGGGTGTTTGCTGTTTGCAAATCCACATTCATTAACAAGGAAAGTCTTTCTTTCCTCCGCTTGCAAAGATGAGTCCAGAGGCCATTCAATTACCAGCACCATTTGCTACAGCAGGCAGGTTTCCTGTGATAAACCCAATCTTAATCCATGCCTGATCCAGGCTTGCTCAGGGCTTAGATATGACCACAACCTAAGACTGTGACAGCAGTGCTTCTTATCTTTGCAGCTTTTCCACTTTCCCCTCTGCTTTTCCCTTCTTGAGGATGTTTCTTGCATTCCCATTCACCAAGAACTGTCGAGGCCCGAGCTAATAAATCCCATCACTCATAACTCATAGATTAAGTGACTGACTGGAGTGCCTTCTTTGCCAACAGTACTTCATAATGGACAGGCAGAAGGTTGCAGCCCCAACTTTGTTCTGTGCCAGCAGTTCTCAGCAGATAACATTTAAATAAACACGTCCTTTACAGTTCATTGGACAAGTAGGCACAGCCCAGGAGACATCCACCACCTGTGAAAGCCTAGCTCAGCTATGTGTCGTTCTTCCTGGGTTTTGTGGTTTCATGTTCTTCACGTGCTTAAATGTGCAAATAAGATTCAGGGAGCCAACAAAGGTCAACGCCAGCAATCCCACATGTTCACGGGGTATAGGTCTGCAGTCCAGGGGTCAGGCCCCTTCCCCACCAGAACTCCTTTCACAGGAGGGGTTTCTGGTTAACATTCTCATTTTACCTTGTATTAGGTTCCCATCATGATGCACCCTTTAAGGAGCGTTCATTCATGCCAAGTTGTTTGAATTAAAGAGAAACAAGATATTATTCCTAATCTGTATTTTAAAAGAGAGATAAACAACGGCTATTCTGACAGGAAACTCCTTAACAGTCTCGACTGTACCTTATTGTCATCAATTAGTGTGAAGGGCCTCTCCCACGTACCTTCTTGCTTTACTTGGAGGTCCTGCACCATTCTGAGGGAAGCACTGATTTCCCCCCCCTCACTGCTAGAAACTGCAGCTTCCAGGCAGTGAGTTAGGTTCAGGCCCTTGTACCAGCATCTTCTACGGGCTGGCCAGCACTTGCACAAGTAGGGAGCTTCTCTTCACAGAAACCTGTTTGCTGGTCATGCAGATGTTTGCTACAGAACCTGCCAGTCTGTTTTCTATTTTGGAGGAGGAATTGTATGCAAAACAATGTGCAGGACTATCTCATTTTCTGTATGTTACTCCTGGGTGTGGCGAAGAACAGTTACAATTTCATGTGGGATGTGGTCTCTACTAAACTTGGTGGAGGGCAAACATGGTTAATACTTGCTATGTTTGCCCCACCCAGTTAGCAAACAGTTTAATGGCAAGATGCAATACATGAAGAGAAGAAACATCCGTATGGAATTGTAGGGTAACAAAATGGGTCTTGTTGCAGAGAGAAAATGAGAATGAAGTCAAGCTTGCTACTAGCTTGGCAGTTGTTAGTGGCAGTATCTCATAAGGTCGCCACAGGAAGAGCTCTTAACGAGGGACTCTAAAGCTGATGAATTTCTGGTAGTACAGTTTTTTCTTCTGGGAGTTTGTTTCACACATGAGGGGCTGACACAAAAGAAGTGTTCAAAAATAATTGTGAGAGAAAGGAGTTAAGAGGCGGTAAGGGTTATTAGCAGGGAGTTTCTGAAAGCCAGTGCCAGTGCTGTGATCCTGAAGCTGAAAGACGTGGGGTTAAAGTCATGAGGGTGAAGATGGCCCATCTTGTGTTTGTGAAGGAGGAGAGGCAGCTGTGGGAAGTAAGCCTCTAACACAGGAGACGATCAGTCATTATGACTTTTGCTAGTAGATGCCTGGACAGGTGGACCTCAAAGCAGTAGTGAGACCACTTTGAGAAACATCAGCAGACAACTCCTCGCAGTGCAAGAAGCTCACACTAAACCCTTGTACGTGTGCTGTCCAGCACCCACGCACTGAGGAAGCATTTAATTGGTGTCACTGCACAATTGCTGTAGAGCTAGTGAGATGCTCACAAAGCCCACAGCATTTTTACTGAGACCACCTGAGAACTCTCTTCCCAGGCCTGCTCCATAGGAGGTACACAATAAGGTGGCCCAGCCCTGTAAGGTTAAGCTGGTGCCGCTCACCAGCTGAGCGGTTTGTTGTGGGCAAAGAGACCAGGCGAGTAACAGGAAGAGGAACCATCTCCCAGAGGCTTAAAGGACACTGCGTGTCTAGTTTTGGCAAGGATGAAGCAAAATTGACTCGCAGCCTGGATTCGGGCAGGTGTTTGTCATTTACACAGCACTGACCTACAGCCTCAGTTCACAAGTACGGTGGTGCTTTTCAGCAGAAGGGCGATCTTGTGGTTTGACTGGAGGTCTGAGGTTGAGGAATGAATTAGTTTTTCAGCCCTACCAGCAGCTCCCTGCGTAACACCGAACAAGTCACTTCACCTTTCTGCCTGCCTGCCTCTCTTTCAGGGGGGTGATAATGCATACTTTAAAACTGATTTGAAATCCTGAGGTGAGATGAGCTGTACAGATACAAAGTACTGCTGACAGCCCCACTCTTCTGCCTTCCCCTCAGCTTCCAAGAAAAGCTACAACATAATGGGTTAGAGGATCCCCCTAGGAATTACTGTGATCCTGGAAATGAGGTGATGCATGGCTATCCCATAAAATACAGTTAGACTACTGTTGTCCCACAAATAGGGGAGGATAATAACGGTCAATCCAGAATTTATTTAAATTCGGGGTTCTTGGCATTTAAATGCTTCACCTTTTTCCAAATTGCAGGCAAGCAGAAGAGTTGTAACATGCAACTGCTGAGGATCACAGATGCCTTTGGGGTTGGCTCTAAAAGGGCTCCCATTTTTCCAGTTTTGTCTGGTCAGAGCAGCACCACCTCTGACTGCACCCTGGCCGGGTTCCTTATTTAGCGATCGCACCTCTTCTAAATGAGAGCACTGTCAGCCTGCTTTCTGTAGTTGCCTATATCCAAATTTCTCTGTTCACCGACGCCGAAGAACTGGTCAAACTTGATTTCTTCAGTGGTATTTGAGTGTGGTAAGGAGACTTTATTCATGTGCTTAATTGGCTGAGGAAAAGGTAGATTTCACTAACGTTTTCATATCCTTGAAATGTTTTTGTGGTAGTTAGCTATAAAATGCCTTGGACCTCTATTAACTGCTGGTTTTTGCTAACTGTTCTAACAGATCTTGTCCTAATGAAGGTTCGAAGCAAACAGCATTTCCCTTTGCTTACAGCAAAGGCTCTGGTGTAAATCTTAAATGTAGAACTGTATTAAATGAGCACATTAAAATATAATTTTGTATATCAGCATTAAATGCCTAATCTAAATCTGTAAGCCTTGACAGTTTAACTAAGCCTGCTGGAATTTAACATCCATTTTAGCTTTCTTTTTTTTCCCCCCCAATTAAAAATAGACTTTATTTTTGTTATTGATAACTTTAATTCATGTTTTTAATTCCTGGTCAAACTCTTCTACCTCGGGACCAAAGCTTTACTTACTTGCTTCACGTGGGGCCATAATAATACCTCTTTTAGCTTCCAAGCAATAGCAACCACCTCTCTGGGAGAGGAGCAGGGCTGCTGGTTCTCAGGGCCACGGAGGAAAGAGGTAGAAATTATAATCCCTGAGCATGAGGGTAGCAGAAAGCATAGTGCAAAAATAAATGTTTTATCAACAGTGACAAGTTTACAAAAGAATCCGTCCCAGCCTCTGTATAAAACATTGATATGTGTAGTAAAACCAAGGAGATTATTTGACTACAGACCTTCACTGGTTTATGCTAAACTTTTGGCAGATAACATGGAGCGATACTAACCCTGTCAACATGACAGCAGTATGAAAAACTTGTAGATTGGTGTGGGGTTTTTTTTTGTGAAATAACTTTAAAAAAATAAAAGGAAATTGTGTACAAATGTCCAAGAAACCTAAAATTAAATCAAGGATTTCTTGGCTTGTTTATGTGAGAAGATGTGTCTTTCAGTAGAAGAACACTGGTGCCTTCAGCCTCAGGATTAAAGTGACTGAGTGAAAAGACTGAGTCAAAAACCCAACTTGCAGAGAGACAGGAGGAAGAGGAGGAAGGTAATAGAGCTGGCTTCTTCACGTATGCTTCCTGGAGCCACCAAACATGTGACGAGTCAAGCACAAAGGGGACTGACAATTCAGAAGGACCCATTCCCATATGCAGTTTTGCCACAGTGGAAATATTACCCCATGAATTGTTTTTTCAGTCTTGTGCTCCCTTTTTATGTGGATTGCACCCTTTGACCCCTTCACTGATTTAGTCTGACTGCCACCTCTGAATACGGCTGCCACAAACCCAACTTTAGCAAAAAATTGTTGTACTAAAAGGACTAAAAATATCTGCAAAGAGTGACTGTAAATTTAAGGGACCGTTTCTAATTCCTAGTAGAGGCTGCCCGTGTGCTAGGAACTAGGGCAGAATGGAAGAACAGAAAAAACCTTCCAGTCTGCTCTGCCCTGTTTCTGGAATAAGAAGTGTCTGAAGCGAGCACTATACTTGCTCAGTCCCAGGAGCAATCGCCTCATTTCTGCCATCATACGGTGACTTTTGCTTAACAGGTTTCAGCTTTGGCGTGGTGGTAGCTTTCCTTGAGCAGTTCCGGCCTGTGAATCTTTGGCTCACTAGCAGAGAGAATTTTTACATCTTTAATACCCAGAGCATCTTTCATGGGCAATCATTCTGGGTTCAGATGAATACATTTCGGTAACTTTGCCCAGGGCACAGCTGCAGGGCCCGCACCGGGGCGGAGCTGGAAGGTTTCTGGCCACTGGAGGCTGGAGGGGTGTGTGGCTGGTAGCTGCACCTCCAGTAGCGATGTCCCTGCTGAACTGGGCCATCTGTACTGTGTGAAAGCGCAGGTGGTTTGGCAGAGCATCCTGTTGTCACCACAGCTGGCAGGTGCCAGAAGAAGAAGGTGATAAAAAGACTTCTAGGTCTGCTGACTTGTCTTTGGGCGCTCGGTGGTGCATTTATGTTGCTGCAGCTCCTGTGGCTCTTCCGGCAGCCCCGCTGCAGTTTAGTCATAGAAATACGGATGTGAAAATAGACCTCAGAGCCCATCTGATGGGGAACTGAGAGAGGGTGAATTTTCCCTTTTCTCACTAGTATTTTCTGTCAGCAAAGTGAAGTGCATTGGTGCTTCCCTCATTTGCTGAGAAAAAAAATGTCTGTGACACCTATGCCTGCCAGATATAAATAAAATCAGTTTTATGATTGCTGATGAATCTCTCCCCTCCCCTAATTTTTTTTGGCCTTCATCTGATTTGTGGACAAAAGGTAGGCATCACCCACAAAAGGTCTCTAAAGTCAGTTCCTAAAGAGACCCTTTTAGACCCATCAGGCTGTTAGGTGTTCACCTAATATTTGTAAAAACTACTAACATTTAGTGTTTTATCTCCATAGATAACAAATCCCGTTAACCTGACTGATCTCTTTCGTTCTACAGATCAGACTCGTGGTTGAAGAGGGACTGAATCAACTGCCATACACAGAATGCACCGTGACCACTCCAACAGGTATGTGGGAAATCACTCCTCCCCTAGGCATGACTGGAAGTGAAAGCTTAACTCATATAAAAAAATATGGAATTGTTACAAGAATCATAGGATCCCTCAAGCTGGAAGAGACCCATAAGGATCATCGAGTCCAACTCCCTGCTCCTTGCAGGACTGCCTAAAACTGAACCATGTGACTAAGAGCACCCTCCAGACATTCCTTGAACTCTGACAGGTCCTGATCGCTGCCCCGGGGAGCCTGAGGCTGAAACAGTTTAACAGTCAGGGTACCGTTCAGCATGAAGGGCCCTTCTGTGGTATTAAAAAAGCGAGAGGGTGTATAACAACACAGTACTGATGATCGTATCGCTCTCACACACGTACCAGTGCCCACATTTTTCTTTCAGTGACCAAGAACACAGTGACAGCAGCATTGTAGCATCGTATTTCCGTTCCAGCTCTTCCACCTGCAGCACTGGCCTGCATCTACCGGGCTCCTTTGGGCACATACTGTTTACCTTCATTTTGCATATCGTCCTTCATTGAAAATAATCACAGCATACCTGAGTTATAAAACACGTACTTGGAAAGGATCACTTCTGTGCCACGTTTCTGACATGACTTGTAAAAAAAGCACAAGTTCTTTACCAGTTACAGTTTTGGCCCTGTTCCGTTGCTTGTTTGAGGGCTGCAGGATGTGGTGTGCAGATTGGTTCACGCCACCTGTTGAGAGACGTGGAGCTCGCTGGTGTCCCCTGGGTATTTGAGGATCTCGGTTCCATTCACACCAAGGTCACTTAAAACACCATCTCCCGAAGGGGCCTTAAGATGGGGCAGAAGGGAGCAGTCACTGCCACTGACGTCTGGTTTCTTTCCTCTCACAGGACACAAGTATGAAGGAGTCAGATTTGAAAAGGGAAACTGCGGAGTCAGCATAATGAGAAGTGGTAGGCAGCTTCTGGTTGTTGAATGAGAACTAATTAAATGGTTTGGAAACCCGTAACCAACTTCCTCTCAAAAATGTGCAACCGCACTTCTCTACAGCAGAGTTCTACCCAAACCTGCCAGTTGTTGTTCCTTCTGAGGTAGCCTTCATCCCAAAATGCCAAGTAACCGGTTTCATTAACGTTTTTAGGAGACAAATAGCCGCAGCAGATTCCGTCTGGCCTCTTCTCCAGCGACGGTTACCTGTGCGCGGCCGGGCCAAACGGCCTTGTGTGCCACTGGGGACTTCTGCTCAGAGACGGGTCTCCAAACCAACCACGCTCGGTGGTGGAAGAGGCTGTGTTATTTTGCCCGATGCTGCGGAAACCTTTGCAGCTGTGATGTAAAATCCAGCGGCTCCACAGCCTCCTGCACCACATTCTGCACCGTGGAGACTCTGGGCAGAGCTCAGAGATGGTCTCCAAACCCCACGCGTTTGTTTTGACGTTTCCAGCTCTCGCCTTTGAGAGCTTCGCACTGCTGTGTGGGAACGCTCATACCCGGGAGCTAAGTAACACCGAGCAGACTCGTTTTTCTGTCTAAACAGAGAAAAAAGGAAAATAGCTTCAAGTGTTTTTAACACTTAGAACTGAGAAACAAAACCTCCTTCTTAGAACTCTTCACCAATACAGTAGTGGGACCGTCTAATTGTAGCATCTTGCGATTGTGCCGTTTCTTAGCGTGTAACGATTTGTTGTTGGTGTTCTTTGCTGCTCATTTTGAGGCGAGGCAATGGAACAAGGTTTACGGGACTGCTGTAGATCAATCCGCATAGGAAAAATCCTGATCCAGAGCGACGAGGAGACTCAAAGAGCCAAAGTGTACTATGCGAAGTTCCCACCCGACATTTACAGGAGAAAAGTTCTTCTAATGTACCCCATACTAAGTAAGTGTCTTTCACCACTGTGTGCAGTTAGACTCATCTGAACAGTGAGTGTGTGGCATTTAAAGGAAAATTTCCAAATTTGAGGGGCTGTGATTAGGTTTTTTGCTTGCTTTAGGTGACACAGTAGGGAATTTATGGGGCTGTGCCAGAGTACGTATTGGTCAGCTCGCACCAGCATGGGCGCAGAGCACACCATTTGGGCGTTCGTGAGAAAGGCATTAAGACTTGATAGAAATTTAATTTTTTAGATTTTGCCATGAGAAAAGCCTCAAACAGTATTTTTCTCATACTATTGAAAGAGAGAAAGGCATTAAGACTTGAGAGAAATTTAATTTTTTAGATTTTGCCATGAGAAAAGCCTCAAACAGTATTTTTCTCATACTATTGAAAGACATTTTTGGATTAATATTATAATCCTAGAAGTAAATGACTTTAAAATTAAATACAGTTATATACTACCAAAAAAACCCACCTGGTAAGCATGGTAAGGGGTTTGTCAGGATTAAGTAACTTTTCCAGTCTAAGATTTAATTCTGGTTCTACACATGGAGCTCTTAATTGTCATTTTACAATTTTTGATGAGCTGTTTTGCCTCAAGGCAAAACAATATGCTGTTAATTTCAGTAGTTAGAGAGGCCCAGCTAAGAAGTGAAGTTACTGAACAAAATCGGTCCTGTTTTACCTCAAACCAGGACAACGTTTTAATAAAATCCACCGACTTCAGTGCTTTAAACCTGGCAGGTTGGCTGTTTCAGAGCAGAGAGGAAGTTCCTTCATCGGGAGACCAAAGTTTTCTACAATTAATTTGTGCAAAGGTGAGAGTTTTCCAGTGGGAAAGGACAGTCTCAGCATTCAGTCCCACACCAATGTTAACACGGATATTCTGGCATGGCCTAGGACAAGTCCTTCTATCGGGGGGGAAAATAATCTCACTTTCTTCCCTTTTAGGTACTGGTAACACTGTCATTGAGGCTGTGAAAGTTCTCGTGGAACACGGCGTACAGCCGAGCGTCATTATCCTGCTAAGCCTCTTCTCCACACCTCATGGTAAGTTGAGGGGGCATGAGGGGGACAGAAGAGTGACCCCAGGTATGTCAGGGAGGCAGTTACACTAGTCACGTGCTTCGGACAGCAAATAACGACAGCAGCATCGCTTTGCTCACAAGAGACGTTTTTTTCTTTTTGGGGGGGAGCGCACTGAATTGTAGACGTGAGAGCGAGCAGTGACATGGTTGGTGCGGGCAGTGGAGTGGGCAAGCAGAAAGGAAAAGGCCTGTTACACCTAATGGCAAAACCGCGAATGGTAAAATATTCCTAAAAGCGGGAATTGCAGCGCTGGCAGGTACGCGGCATGCTCCCAGCTGCTGTTGTGGACAGCAGGGGATGGCATTGAGTTGGTCCACCACCAAAAGAATGCCAGTTCGGTGCAGAGCGTGATGTAAATAAAGCTGTGCTGTTAAAAGATCTTGACTTGTAAAAGGGGAGCCAGAAAAGGAACAGCTCTATGTGAAATACAAAAATGGATCTTGTGCATTGTTTGAAAAATTGGTCACAGCAGAAATCACTATCAAAAAAGACAACTGGACTGCAGAGACTCAGTCCTGGCCGTGTGTAACCACTTTGCTGATTAGATTGGGCGTATATGTGTATGGTACAGAAAAGAAAAATCCAAATAAGAAAACCCCAAAAAGCAATCCACTAAGTTCAGGAAGTTCTTCCTCATGAACAGTCAGCTAAGGCAGAAATGTGAGGTGGAGATAGAGGAAGAGAGCCTGAGTTACCTGTGGAATTCTGCTAATTATGATTTAACATGCGGTGCTGAAATACAGCTGCAGTGCCGTAGTCATGATTGCCTTTGCCCTCTCTCAAAAGGTGCCAAATCCATCATCCAGGAATTCCCAGAGATCACAATTTTAACTACAGAAGTTCATCCTGTCGCACCAACACACTTTGGACAGAAGTACTTCGGAACAGACTGACACACTCGGAACAAATGGAAATGACTATATGATGTTACAAGAGGTTTTTTTCTACATTTTATTATCGATGAGTTGATTGAGGGCACGTTTAAAAATCGTTTTGGCCAAAGGGGGAAGTACTGGACTGAGGTGAGTTCTGGGCAGTTGCTGCCTGAGCACTGCATCGGGTACAGCAGCAGCACTGTGTCACTGCAGAGTCCACCGTCTCCATGTTGGGGTTGTATAAATTGCTGCACTCGCTGCTTTAACTTATTTATTCTCCAATGGGCTGTCTCGTGGCTGCTTGCCAGAGCAAAATAAACAACTAAATGATGGAGGTGCGTCCTTCCTTTCTAGTGGTAATGTCCGCATCGCCCCAGCTCAGCTGGTACAGCCACTCCCAACGCTTCCAGAACGATGGGTGCACACGGGACTCAACGTAATTGTTAGCAGCCACACTGAATTTTTGGCAGAATTTTCAGTCTTTGGCTAGTGGCCAAGAACTAAAGACATACCTCTGAATTTTGCTCTGTATTGATTATTTGCAAATGGTAAAATGTCCACAGTTGTCCTCCTCAATGGTACGGAGGAAAGAAGCTTGCTGTGGCCGTGGCCATGCCCTGGCAAACAGGCTGGGAGCAGCACGGGCTGCAGGAATTCTGCACATACAGTACTTATATTTTGTCTCTTAACGCTTTTGTGGTTGAGTCGGTACTGCTAACCCCTTTAAAGAAAGGAAAGCTTTGGCAAGAAGCTGAACTCAATTTATATCTCTGTTCGCAGAGCAACAGGGCTTAAAGCCTAAAGACAAACATGGCCCTCAAGGCTCAGCGGCCTTTCGGAATGCTCCTGCAGTAATTGTGTCGGTCAGATTAAACCTAAATCTGCAGCCAGATTCTTTCTTGGGCTTTAAATCCCCTGGCACCAAGTACACAACTTCCAAAGCTTAAACTAGCTGCTACCTTACCTTACTATAACTTTGGGAAAATTTATATATAAAGACAATATAGCCCACTATTTTTCTTTACGTATATCCATACTGTAGGAAGAGCAGGATTACAGAATGCCATGATGAGCAGAGCACTTCGTACCTCTCCTCAGATGAGCGGATTCACAGGCCTGGGCTGCCCCACGCAACACACCTCGTAAAGACACGGGGCAGCATTTCCTGAATCCTTTTTTTGACACAGATAAAGGACCTTCCCCACTCCAAGCAGTAATTTCAGTTAAAGTTGTCTAAAGCTTCCAAGAGAGAGAATGTTTAGCCTGAGCATAGGCTAAGTCATAGGAAATAACCGTTCACAAGTAGAGATTAGCCAAACCTGATTTTAATGGGAACCTCGCCTGCAGTGCAGTATAAACCCTGTGGGCTCTCTAGTATAAACCAGAATAGAAAATGACAAAGCAGAAGGTACAGGATACTCAGCTGTAGAAACCATACAAACACTTGGGAAATGTTAGTGAAACATACACAAAGCATTCATAATAAAGACAGAACATTTGTCAGACAGTATAAATGAGTATCCAAAGCTTTTGTAAAAACCCATTTGATATCAAAAGTCTCAGTGCCGGCAGCAGCATTGAACTGAACCGATGTAACACCCCCAATGCCGTCAGCCGACTGTGGCACTCACGGGAAAGCACTCACTTCCTGTTCAATCGGGGTGAGAAATCGCTATGAAACAACAGAGCTCCAAGTGGCATGTCCTTCACTGAACAGGACAGCGTCCACTGTACGCAAGTTACTTACAAATACCAATCTACCTAAAAAGCAGCTGAATGCAGTAACAAATCACTACAATGAAGTTGATGTCACTGTTTCGGACGATGGAGCAGTTACCAGCGCAGAGCCCACAGAGCAGCCGTCCTCGAGAGGGAAGGGGCGTTTCACTGCGGGAGTTTGCAGCACAGGGAGTTCGGACCCAGCGGAAGAGGTAGTGCTTTGGTTCCCAAACGGAGTTGTCCCACCCCAGAACGGCTCTTGCACTTAGCGTTGGACTCGGTGTGAGTTTCCCAGCCTGGTCAAAACACTAGGGAGTAAAACGCACCCGCTTTACTTCAAAGCAAGGTAAAAAAAACCACCTTCCAATGCTGAATTCTAACATACAGCTAGGTCTGCAATTATCTGGTCCTGAGATTTAATTAAGTTTTGAGGGACCCATTTTCACAACAAACATAAATGGGTCACTTTCAGGTGAAAACCAGCTGGACAGATAGAATAATTTATAAAATAACATGATCTATTTGATAAGTTAATAGCGAAAGGGAAGCTGTTAGAAGTTCCAGGCTCCACCAGTGCAATCGGGAGTTGCTCTGGAATAGCTCAGCCTGCGGCGAGCGCAGGAGGCGGCCACTCCTTCACCTCATCACTGCGGCAGAGGGACGCCCGTCCACGGAGCTGATGCAGAACAGCACAATGGGTTCCACCTACCTCCTCGCAGTGCCACAGAAACCCTGCCTCCGCCTCAGGGGAGGCCGCCTCTGCACAGCCCCGGCAGCAGGATACCAGGTGCTGATATGAGGGATTTCTCTCTCCTCCACATCCTGGTTCCTCCAGAAAAAGGCAGGGGAAAAACAATAATAACACCAACACCTTCAAGAATCCACTGGGTTTTTGTTTCTCCTGCAAAGGGAAGTGCTGGTGTGTGAGGTGCAGCACACGCCTTCCCCAGCTCCGCACGGGGACAGGGAGGACAGGTTGGCTGGTTGGTTTCCAGACCTCCCCTGGAATTTAGCCCAAGGTTCAGCTCAAGAAAAGTTCAAGTCTAGAAAGTACTGAAAAAGCAGTACTGCCGTCAGGTGAAGTACCCGCATGTTGTATGAGCTGTTTGAAACCAGCGTTGGAGGCAAGCAGGCGTTTCTTTTTAAGCACAATTGGAGTAAGAAGCAAAGATGATCCCTTTTCCCTTTTTGTTGTTTTCTTTCCTCCTCCTTCACACAACTTTTTTTGAACAGTGGCTGTTACCCGCTAAAGTCTTACAAATGCTACTGTAAATCTTAAAACCTCATACACAAAAAACCATTTTAAGCAGCATGAAAGCGTTACCAACTTACAGGCTCACATCTGAAATGTGAATTTATGTTATATTTCACAAGTTCACATTCCAAACTGAAGCCAGAAAAGGAAGAAATAAGATTTTTAGGAAAGGGAGAAAAGCGCTGCAGGAAGTCGGATCCCACTGCTGTGAGCAAAGCAAGCGGAGCCCCAGCGATGAGAATCACAAACCCACACCTGACAGACACTCAGATTAGTTACCAATGAAACATGTGGCACAACTGCTTAAAGTGACACCCACTCACCTGCAGAGTATCCAAAAAAATGGCACAAACAGCTGAAAGCTGCTCATACTTTGCATATTCAGGAGGAAGAAGAAAGCCTCTCTCAAAGGCAGACAGAAAAAGGACAAGAATAAAACTGTGTAACAGTGGGTCTGATCTCAACGTTAATTACCAGAAGCGGAAATAAAGCCTTACGCAGGAAGAGCCCGTGGCAACGCGCAGCCTTGCAGCGCTTGCGGCCGCCGGGCTGGCTGACGGCCCAGGGCTGCTGGTGGAAAAGCCCCTCAACCAAGCAAATGCTTCAGCTGATGGTTCCAGAACAAGTTTATTTTTGCAAGTGTTCTGTAACAAAACAGAAGCTGATAGAATTGGAAAAATATCAGTAAAATGAAGGTATTTTCAAGTATTATGGATCAATTTCAAAAATCTGTACCACAGGAGTCACTGAAATGAAAATGTGACCCTCTGAGTTAATTAATTCTGGCTTAATAAACACGGTCAACAGTACCTCCTTAGCCTGCTAATCAACGCTTCCGTGAAGGAGCCAGCTATGCGAGCCGCAGATCTGTTCTGTGGGCATAAGGACTGCACAGGCGGCAGCGGGTCCCCGAATACCTCTTACCACAGCATTCTTTAGATCTGCCTTTGGGGAAAAAAGGTAAATTCTCTTTTTTCCCCCTGACGCTTTACATTCATGTTATGTTACAGACTTTATGCATCAGGTTTGGTAACTAAGTTGTGCTTTGAGTCCACACCAGCATACAGAACTAAAAAACCACAGCTAGCATAGAGTCCGCCGAGTCACATTTCTGGTTTGTTCCAGGAAGTAAACATTCGGGGCTCTGGTGCTCCCAGGAAGCTTCCCGGTTCCTGTCTGTGACAGTACACTACCTGCATCAGGTACAGCCTACCAAAACCATACACTACTGCTTGCTCTTTAAAGGAATACAATCTTAGTCTACCCCCAAAACATACTGTACTGATTCAGCAAGAGACAACACAAATTGCAGTGCAGTGACACTTACACAAGTCCCGATTCCTTGGACAGGACTCACTGGCCAAGTAGAGGACTTACCACAATACTCTCCATAGAAACATCAATATGATGTTTTCTCTATTTTTTTTTTTTTTTTTAAAGAGTACAGTGTACCTGAACGTAAATGGGAGAGAAGGGGAAGAAGTGTGGAGGTGGTTGTTAGTGGTCAGTTACTGTGGCGCGTTACCCTGGGAGTACGGGGATGACACAGAGCAGCAGGTAGCACAGTAAAATCCAGCAAGAGCGTTCCCCTTTCACACGATGACATCCACTTGGAAAAGCTGCTTATAGCAGAGGAAGTCCTCGCTCACATGAAGGACATGAAACACATTTGTAAAATGCTGAAATACAAACCACAAACAGGCCAAAGGCAAGGTGGAACATGCTGCACCTGGGTGGAACTCTCACACTTCCGTGCCATGATTTACGCTAACACCACTGTGGTTGTGTTCAACAGAGACACTCCTGGTGAGTCTCTGACACCTGCAACGCTGGCTGTCACTTAAGCCGCATACCTTACTACCGGATGGCTGTTGGTAGAATGACAGACAGCATCTGGTGGTCCTACTCCAGCTTCCAGGGTCCCATCGAAAATAAAAACTGCTTTTATGTACTACCTAACGCACAGTGCTGCAGCCGGACAGCAGGCAGGGACACAGCCCGCAGATGCTGTCAGGCACACGGCTGAGGCTGCGGCTGGGGGGAGAGGGGGAACCGAGAACTCCCATCTTAAAAATACACTTCAGTCAACAGAATGGAACAGAAAGTCACCAACTCATCTTCCTGCTTCTCCATACAAGGAATTTAGAGTTTTAAAAGGCACAAACAGCACCTCTGCTGGTGCTAAATTCCCATAATTTTCCTATTGGGTTTAGCTGCCACCTTCCTCTCAAGATCCCCCTCCAGAGCACATTTTGCTAGAAACGCGGTGACTAATTCTATGGCTGTCTTTCACCAAACGCAGCTTAAGGTTCACCACAAGACTTTGACACGAGAAACACAGGTTTAGACTGACAGGAAAAATAATGTTCAGCACTCAACAGCTGCTGGATGATGGAACCACCCGACAGACATGGTTAGGGCAGCTGAAGCAGGAACATGGAGAGCGGTCACTACCGCTCTGAGGAGGAGAGCGGGTGATCCACACTAAGCCTGGGAGAGCCCACCCTGACTCCTGACAACCAAACTTCAGCAAAAAGAGATTTTCCAGCGGCCGCTGCCTGCTCCACACCAAACTACAGAGGCTGATGTATAAAATACCTGCCTGCAGGGCACTTTTTTTATCAGGTAGTTAAAATATCCACTCTTACGGACAGAAAACCTCTGCAAGACTCTCTTCTGTCTCACAAACATATTTCTACTGGTCACAGCGGCAGAGTAAACAGAAGAAAAAAGGATTTAGTACGTAGGCAAGGCCTTTGTCACCAAACAGGTACTTGCCAGGTAATTTCTCATGACATGCGCAACTGCTTGTGCAGTCACTGTCAACACAAATGGGCTGATAAACACAAAACTGGGATAGAAAATGGTAACAAATGACCTTAAAGACAGTATACTAGTGCTTGAAGCATGCGCCTAATTCGAACAGGAGTGACGGAGTTGCTGAGTCTGAACCATGCAGATAAAAAAAGACTCAGGTCTAGAAAAATGCAAATAATCCTGCCAGCAAATTCCCAGTTCCATTCCACAGAATAAAACCAGCGATACACTCCTTTGAATGCAAATGGAGAAAAACAAAGAAAAAAATCTGATCACCCCTTAGTGCTGAAAAGCCTTTAAACTGCCAGTCAATACATTTACTGAGGAAGAAGTCTGAGAAAATTCAGTACATCAATTGTTTCTTCAGCATTATGGGACTAAAACCACCTTGTGGAGCGTAAACTCCAAACACTATTGTTGGAGCTAAACTTTCAGTGCACACTTCCAACTCGTGTTTTGAATTTACATCTTCCTTTCTGACTCCATAAACACACAAATTTCCATCAAACAGTGATCCCAGAATGAGCTGATATTGTAGCCCCAGGAATTAATGCAAACTGTCTAAAGTTCCCTTTTGTATTTTAGGTGCCTGCAAGTAGGACAGGGCCTTAAAGGGCACTACAACTCAAACTCTAAGACAATTACACCCTCCTAAAAAAAAAAAAATAATCTATGGCCACAATATTCTTGAATCTTGATACTGGCAATGTGAATTTTTTATTTTCACATACAGCTGCACATGTACATATGCATGTTCAGCACTTTTTCTTTCAACACACTTACATCCAACTATCAATTTAGTGCCAAATTTAAGAGGGTCAGTCATTGAGTTCAACTGACTCAGACAAACTTTAAACACATTAGAAAACGCTACTTGTCAGAGAAGGTTGGAGAATCAGTCTCAAAATAAATACCGTCCCCAAGAATATTATGGCTTGGAAGAATTTCAAGAACTTGAGTCCCTGATATTTGCAAAACGAAAAGGCCTTTGGAAATACCCTCGTGTGCTGGTTCCGGCAGGGGCAGGGTTCATTTTCACCGGGAGCTGGGAGAGGGCACAGCCCAGGGCTGACCCACACCAGCGAGAGGGGCACTGGCTCCCCGTGAGTCAGGCCCAGCACACAGCCGGGCAGCGGTGGCGGGGCGGGTGGGAACCCGGGTGGGCTCCTGTTCCGCTGGGCGAGCAGTGCTACACTAAGGGCGGTTTGTATATTCCTCTATCGGTATTATTTTTGTTGTTTCCTCTTTCCTTTGCTGTTCTGTTGAACTGCCTTTATCTCAACCCCCAAGAGTTTTGCCTTTTTCTTCTGATTCTCCACCACCATCCCCATTGCCAGGGGGAATAAGCAAAAGACCATGCGGTTCTTTGTTGCCAGCTGGGGCTAAACCATGACACCCCGCATCAATACTTTTTACCTGTTTTGAATAAAAAATATATATTATTTATAAAATAAAGAGAGCAGGCCAAAGAAGATTGGCCAGAATCACTCTATAGAACTCTTCTGTTCATTCCATAACTTAAACTTAGAAAGCCCTGAAACATCTGGATAGCACAATTTCTGGAGAAGCACTCTAGAATGCAGATTCCAATCGGACGATACTTCATGATGTTTTCTCATCTTGAAGATCCACTTGTTTTCTGCCCCTCAAAACTGAAGTCCATGCCAAGAGAAGGGATGGTGACTCCTGAGAGGAAAGCTGAAATTTAAATAAAGAAAAATGTGCGACTATAAACACTGATCTGATGAGCAACAGACGGCTGTCCAACCTTGACTCTGAGCATTGTTTTAACGCCATGCAGAACGACAGGGAAAATGCTGTTTTTCCACTCCCTAGTAGAATGGCAGTATGCAGTCCTCACTGACTATTGACAGAAAAAATACTGTGGGGTTTTTCTTCTCAGCGGAAGAAAACGGAATCGCAACTACAATGTACAAGAAGCCCCTTTATAAAAATCTCATGTTGCTCTGCTCATGTGCAGAACCAGGCAGTGGCTTACAGTGCTTTGCTACACAGTGCAGTTATTCAACACCCACAGAAAACAGAGGGGCAAATTCTACTTGACTATTCCACCCCCGGTAAGTGGGACGGCAGAGGATACTCCTTGAATCTCAGTCAATTACACTCCACTCTGAAAATGTTTCATGGAAACCGCAGAGGACACAGCCTGCAGCTTACTGCAACAGTACGCGTGCGGGATATCTCCCCGCTGTTATGAAAGTCAGAACGGATTATAGACCAGTGAACATTCTGGCAGCAGCATCTTCCCCAAACTGTATCATCCGTTGTTGTACCCAATTTCTCCAGGGTGAAAAAATAAAATAGATAAGAGAGTAGCAGCTGATGTGGGCATTACAAGTTACTTCCATTTATTCCCAACTGCAAGTTGGCTGTTCTCAACTTCAATTTCTTTTAAGACTGTATCTGCACCTTCCCACACCTTTCATGAGTCACTGAACAGACTTCCAATCTTGTAATGGTACAAGTTAGTGGCAAGAGTCATTCCTGCTACATTTACCAGAGGGTTTGTATCCTCCCCTACCAACAGTGCTTTCGGCTCTTGTGTTAACTGTGTCAACATCCAGCCCAGGGCTACTGGACAGCCACTGTTTTATTTCAGATTCTCTTAAACAATATATTTCTGGACGAGATGGAGAAATATTGGTGAAATAGTACCGTGCACAGATGCATCAGTGACACCACTCTGGTGAGAGGGTCTCTGCCCCTGGGTGGTCCGAGGCCTAGATGGCACGTCGCTATCACAGCTCCACCACCCCAAAGCCAGTGCGAAGGTGTGCACTCCACAGCCTTCAACACGTTCGATGACGCTGCCCGAGCGCTGTGGGGCACACCACTGTTACAGTCAAACCTGTCCAACACGACCTACCAATTTCCCCACAGAGCACCTGTTTTGAAAGTAATGAAGAAAGAAATACTGACCTTTCTGAACAAGCTTTATACTGCTGCATTTTCAAACTGCTATGTCTCCCTTTCTATGGCAAGGGATGAAGCTTCACCAGAATCTATAGAACGATAAACAAAGTAGTTAGAGGTAAGTACATCTGTTTTTCCTCACTGAGGATATATTTTTCACTAAGTGTGGGAGTGTGTTTGTAAGAATCATTCCAAATAAAAATAGACAACCACTTGTCAGAGCTAAATGAACAGCAGTTTTTAAACTGAGATCACTCTGTTATTGGCTTTATCTATTTTATAACTGTGTCACAAGATTTAAAGCCAGAAAGACAAACAAAGATCTTTCAGTTTTATTGGAACATTTCAGGCCTTTCTGGCTAGAAAATTATACTGGTTTACTTCTACTGTGTAAGATGGAATCTGAAAACTCTTAAGCTTAGAGCACTTCATTTACTGATGCCTTACAAAAAGAAAAGCAGTGGTGAGAAAACAAGGAAGAGTAAAACATCATTTGTGCCTACAACACAGTCTCCTAAAACCCATCTGTCAGATGGGAGTGTAGGTACCAAAGCTTAATGAAACAGAAATCATGTTCTCTGAATAGCGTTGGGTTAATACAGCCGTGCTAGAAATACACGGTAATACATCTCATGCACTCATGGTAAGTTTATTCCTAAACATTTTCACCTGCAAAATAACAACATCATTTTTCTATGAAGATACACAGTTTCAGCCCAAATCCTGGAGAACTGAAAGCTGTGGGAAGGTTAGACTCAAGCCATATGTAAGCAGCACAGAAATGTCTACTTTAAATCCACGTAGAGAGGCGGGGGCAGCGGGGCTTGTTTCACCTGATGAAGAGGAAGCTCGGGGTCAATCTGACAGCAGTCTACAACTACGTGGGGACTGTTTAAAATGACAACAGCCTGAAAGCAGCTCACACCTCACATTCCATGGAAACAGCATCCTGCTGACCATAGACAACAGCATTTTACTCTACTGTAGAACTGTATTATTACAGTAACTAATACCGAAGGAACTCAAAACAATTTATATACATAAATCTATCTTCACAGCCTGCCTGAGAGACAGGAAGGTTACTGTGCTGTGTTTCGCCTCACCCACAAAACCTGGTTAAGGGAAACACAGCCTACTATTAAAAAAAAATAAAAAATCTGCAGCAGCTATAGGAATAGGATCCAGTTCCCAAATTCATCCTTCTAGAGTTGTTCCCATGCCTGCCAAAACCAGGATGTCAAAACTGTTTTGCTCTGTAGACATCTTATGCTGATCTTGTGCTGTTCACTTTTAAAATTCAGAGCTCACTGTAATATATGACGGTCAAAATGCAAGGAAGGCATCAAGCAGTGTCAAATACCAATTTGTCACAGAACTTTCTTTAATTTTCTCCAAATGAATTTTCTCTGTGAAAGTAAAGAAAGAAGACCAAAAAGCAAACAGTTCCCCCTCACCACTCAACAATGCAAATGCAATACCTTTGCCTATGCCTCTTATTTCCTTATTATGCATAAAAAGAATCAGTGCTATTTCCGTTATCAGGCTATTTTCATATTTATTAGCACAGACATCTGTTTTACCATGCAAAAATCTAATACATTCACTCAGATGGGAAGTTCCAGAGACCAGCCCTTTACTCCGCATACCTTTAGGAAACCATACGATCTGAATGTCAAAGGGAGCTCAGAAAAGGATATACAGGACCTGCTGGCTCTGGGACATTAGTCACCGAAATTTCACTACCAACTTTTAATGGAATATCTTTTTTCATCTAATTGATTTAGCAGCTGCAGGTCTGATCCACATACAAAACTATATTGGTTTTACTAAATATATTCACTAATTAATTTCATCAAACTGATGCAGATTCCTGCACAGGTACCCCCCACTGTTATAAGGCAACCATTGATGCTGGGTTTAGCATTGCTTTAACTCAATCTTTCTCTGTCAGACACAATTTAACCATTTACATCGTGCCTAGAATCCAGAGAGGCAAAGCTAGTCTTTTGTCTCAGTTTACTGAATCGGCGAATACACCGTCCTACTGTCTGAGCAATCTCTGCTCACTTCTGACATCTAAGAAACTTTTACAATTTCTCGATTGATAGAAATTCAATCCCTACAGCCACAACTGATGACTCCTCTACTCAAAGGACTGCTATGCCAAATTAGCCACTATCTCAGGACATGAAGCTCCTTTAATTAGACTCCTACCGATCTGAATTTTAATTCAAATCACGTGCCTTCAGACAGCTGAAGCTACATCACACCACCAGAGATATCAACTTCTACCCATTACTCGGGATACGCTGGTTTCTGCTGGAAAGACATTACTTAGTACAGATCACAAATTTTTGAAGATGAGATTTGGGAAAGATTCGATTCATACTGAAGCCTTTTGTAGAAGTTGAAATGAAACACGATTAACTTAATAAATCAATCTAAGAGATGAGATGTTGCCGTATCTGTACAGAAATGGCTGTCCTGTCCTCGGCTCCACAAGGCAGAAGCGCATTCACAGTACTGACACACCCACGAACAACACATCAAATATGGTCCAGATGAGTCCTTTGAAAAAACTGGTAACCTTATGAGCTGCCAGCGTGTGATTCGCGGTAGCTCTCTGGCTAGACAGATTAAACAGATGCCTGTGAATAAGGGATGAGCATTAATAAACCTGAAAAAAAATTCAAATTACCATGAATTTGGAAGCAAGGGGTTTCAGTCGCTGGTTAAGAAATGAAACAACAGGTTCCCCCACAGTATTTTTCTCCCTACATGAAACAATAAAAGCCTTAGCAAGGCCAGGATTAAGGGGAAAAAAAAACCCCAGCAACCAGGAAGGGCACATTTAAACATCCGTATCAGAGAAAGGACAACCCTGTGGACAGGGTGATTGAGATGATGGCCTGTACGCTCCCGGGACCTAGGATGAAGCTACCTCACCTCCTTGCTCTCAGTTGGGTGTGTCTTCTCCTCATCAGCCTCCCAGTCCCCTTAACGCTCATCTCCCCCAATATCCACATGTGAGCTGAGTTTGCAATTGTGGGGGCTTAAAAATGCGCTGCTTTATGCAGACGCAGAATAATCAGACTGCAGTACTGCAGTTCGGCACAATAACATCAGACAAAGAAACATTTCATCAAGCTCCTTTTTTTTTTTTTTTTTTTTTTTTAATGATTTCTGTGGTGTTTCTCTCTCTTCTTCACGAGCCTGGAGTGAGGGACTCAGCTGATCAGGAGACTGCTCATTACTCCTGCTACGTAACACAAGCGCACGAGCAGTTACAGGTGAAACGCCAGGGGATGAGAAATCCCACTTAAATCCAAGAGGGCAGTTGTTATTCTGATCTTGGTGCGGCTGCAGTGCCATTGCCTAAGACTGCAGGACTGAAAAACCTGAACTTTAATGCTTCCTAAACTCTTGCTTTGCCCAATGCCCAGGTAAAAGGAAAAAGAACAAACCTGGTACCTTTTCTTATACAACTCCCTCTCCCCCAACATCTTTTATATTAATCTAAATGACACACAGACATTTTTTATCTGTGCTAGCAGAATGGTATAGTCAAGACCTTGAAGAAAAATGCTCCATGAGATGGATTTATGCTGTATCCCAAAACCACTTACTCAAAAATATTTTTATATGCATTAGTCAGTTGGACTTGATCTTAAATGTCTTTTCCAATCTAAATGATTCTATGATTACTGAATCAATTGTGACCCTACCTGGTGCTTATGGAGAGCCACAGAACTTGTAGAGTGCAAGATTCAGGCAACCCTGCCTGCCGCGGAGCTTTCTGATCACTCTGCTCACGGAACTGGATCAGCAGCAGCGCTGAAAGCTGCATTACAAGTGCCAGCTGCTCTCAGTCCTGCAGCACCAGCCACAGAGGCAGCCAGGGAAGGGTGGCAGCTTCTTCCCCTCCCAACCACACACACTGCCCCCGGTCTCCATGTGGGATTTCACCTTGCAAAATTCAGATGTTCAGACTGAGAGCCGGGAGGAGGATTTGCCATTTGTAAGAAAAATAAAGGGACCTGGATTTCCCCTAACGTTTTCTCTAGCAGCTGAGTTCCAGTTCCACATCACCAAATTGTAGACATACAAAGGGCCCAATCTCCTTATCTCGGGCACTCTTTTATGTAGTTCCCACCTTAACCTCACAACCACTGCAAAAATATTAAAACTTTGCCAGTCATGGTCCAAGATCCACATACGAACAGCGAGCCGTCTGCTCACAGCGTGCGGTCAGCCTGTTTTTCCACTTCTGTCTGTAACTTTGTATAGGCTCAGTTTGGCTTTTACATTACAGTAAGAGGTTCTAGTTTTACCAATATTACAGTTCTTCATCTTGGAACAAGATTAAAAACTATTTTTTCACTGAGAACGACGAGTAGAATAGAATATTTCAGTTGGAAGGGACCTACAACGATCATCTAGTCCAACTGTCTGTAAATGTCATTTATTTTATAAGCACTATAAATTGTGGGACCTCATATAAACTCCAGATTCAGATTCTGGGGTCTGATCTGGCCAAAAATCATCTCACCGCAAACGCTTCCATACTTAAGAAATAATTTTTTATACAAAGAATTTATACTTTCTACAAGTTGGAGGAAGTTCTGACTCATTCCTAAAGGAGTTATTTTAAGCATCATAAACAATACAGAGATGCCATATTTTGTTATTTTTAAAGCTAATTTGCGTTACTTTGTAACTGCCAAAATGAATAAAACAAAATAGGAAGAACAGGTAGTTTTCTAACACGCAAATATGAACTAATTAAAGCAGTTAATCTGAAGAAAAGCCAAAATGAGCCTCTTCAGTCCTATTGACAAAATCCTGGAGAGTCTATTTTCCCAGCAGTATGTGAAGTGCACCTTGGAAAAAACAGACTTTATTTTGCAGTGGAGTAACTTGAACAAACAGCTGCAGGTAAGACCTAAGCAGAGACTGAACAGCAAATATTGTGCTGTGCGGATTAAAGAGCTCATTGCACAGTACGTTGCACATGTATAAAAATGTTCACTTGAAAAGTTTCTGTTACCCCCTTTAACGAAGACTATAGTCTTTCCTCACAGGTTCCCACACATCCCTTGTGCACTTATGACTAAAATGTAAACTCTGAAAGGGAACAGTATCAGCAAAGCTTCTGAAATCTATTCTGAGGCAATAAAAAGCGCAACTGTGGAAATCACGTCTCCGAATGATAAGGCAGTGATATTTGGTTCTCCAAGTATATTTGCTTGATCCACTAATTATAGTAACCTGAGAATGAATTAACAGTTTCACCATTCATTAAAGGGAAAAGAAGAGTGAGATTATCATATTTCTTTTAAAGAGAATCTGTAAACGAAATCCTTGCTCCACAGGAAAAAATATGAGCCCTTGCTTAACTTACTGACAGGATTTCAGCCTGGAGAAGAGAAGGCTCCGGGGAGACCCTATAGCAGCTTTCCAGTATCTGAAGGAGGCCTACAGGAAAGCTGGAGAGGGACTTTTTACAAGGGCATGTAGTGACAGGACGAGGGGTAAAGGGTTCAAACTGGAAGAGGGGAGATTTAGATTAGATATTAGGAAGAAATTTTTCACTCTGAGGGTGATGAGGCACTGGAACAGGTCGCCCGGGGAAGCTCCATCCCTGAAAGTGCTCAGGGCCAGGTTGGATGGGGCTTTGAGCCACCTGGTCTATGGGAGGTGTCCCTGCCCAGGGCAGGGGGGTTGGAATGAGATGATCTTCAAGGTCCCTTCCAACCTAAACCATTCTATGATTTCTGAACCCTCAAACATGGCACCTGGGGTCTCTGACATGAACCCTGATACTCTGATACATACTGTATTCTCCAAAGACCAAAGCTGGGAGGTAACTATGCAAGGAAAAAAAAATGAAGTTCAAACAGAGAAACGTAACACTAAAGAATCATTAAACTAATTTTGGATGCATCTAACAAAAATCATCAAAGAATGGATATGCATATAAAGTCTTTTTTCTAATAGGACATCCATAGCATAAAAGGTACATTTACCTTTCAGAAACTGATCAAATCTCTTATACAAACACACCACTTCACTTAGAATTGCTTTCAGCACATAGATTTCTTCTGTGGAGATTAGCACATAGCTAAGTAAGCATCAAAACCAATGGACTTCTTTACTCTTGTAATAAAGCTGAACAGTGGCTTTCTAAATGTGTCACTGCATTCACATGTTTGTATGTATTTTCACAAACTCTTAGAGGATAAATGCACTTTAAAATAACCTTAGTCTTTTCATTTCTACAGATACAACTTTATGTCCCCAATAACTGTGCTGCATGCAGCAACATTAACATATAAACACACTCAGTTGTGGAAATTTCAATTTCTCTCTGCAACTTGTACCAACATCTCAGTTCATTTACTTGCAAGTAGAAAGCTACTTTAAAAAAAAGAGTTGACTCCAAAGTAGGGCTTATTTTTAGTCTTTGTTCATTAGTCCAGTCAGAGCTGCTCAGTGACTTCGCCAACACAATTTTTTTATTTGATTAGCTCTTATAACTCATCCATTAGTCACTGTAGGTCAAGACACAACTAATTTCCTTTAGCGTTACCTTACCATGAGGCTCTTCATCTATTCCATCATCTTCCCACTGCTCTTCGTTTGCCAGGAGAGGATTCCGAGCTTCACACAAAGCCCTCATTGGGAAAAAATGTCCATCGCCCTGGCTGCATGGAAAAAGGCACAGAAAGACGCTGTAAAAAGCAGCAAGCAGCTCTGAAGGATGCCAGTTTCTACACATTTTATCTGCAAACAAGTCTTCTGTTGCCTGTATTCCCAATGCTAACTTGAAGTTATTTTTAACTTTTCAAAAATCCTGTGTTTATTTTTTGTGGCAGCTCAGATCCCAGGTTTTACTAGTGGGTAGTTTTGGTCCTCGATTCCTTCAAGCTCTCTGGACAAAAAAAGGTCAAACCTATAACCCGGAATTAAGTAATTTTTAGCAGAACTCAAATGCACCTAACTTGATCAAGTCATTTGGATACAGAAGTGAGGGGGGAACTAAGGAAAACATTTATGTAGAAGGAGCAATTTATACCATAGGTATAAATTTTATCAATTTATACCACAGATTCTTCAAGGCAGAAATTACACTTCTGTGTTTGAATGACATGCAATAGAAAACGGCCCCAATCTTAGTTAGATGCTACTGAAAGACAAATAAAGAACCCACTTTCCCGTGACCTAAACCTGTACACAAAATGGGAAAAATAAATACAATAAATACACTGCAAACATCTAAAATTGCAAAAGCTTTTTTTTGCTTTATTACTGCCCAAATAGAAATGCATATCTGGATATCAAACAGGAGTTTGAGAGTACGTTCAAATTCATGTAATGTAAACTAAGTTAAAAACTAGATGTTCTAGCTTGGTCTGCACCATCCTGCATTCCCCACCGTCCAACAGCATGGAGAGAGGAACCGTAAGCTAGCTGAAGTGCCTTTTTCCTCTGATGATTTATCTTTATGCAAGGAAAATAACCCAAGTGTGCTCCCTGCGATGACTATATGCACTGGTAACGCACCTCTGACTAGCACGTCAGTGCTGCCTTTCCTTAACGGAAAGGCTCTCTGCGCTAATCCTTTTCCCTTCAACTATACACAGGAGTGGAAAACAGACGGCAGTGGGGATACAACTGGGACTTACACACTGCTACTTGAAAAAGTTGTGAATTGCTGTGCGAGAAAGTCATTTTAAATTGTGCCCAGTTACTAAAGGAATTAAATCCCTGTGTACTTTACTACTGGTGTAAGCGCCAAAACAACATTTTCCCCTACATTAAGAAACATAAACTGTGTTTCAGGCAGAGGAGTCTGACAGATGAAGCAAAGAGCATCTCTGAATGCTGAAACACCCATCCGCACATGTGCCACAGGAGTCCAGGAAGAGTTCAAACACCCTGTGCCGTGCATTTAGCCCTCAAAAACCTTTCCTTTCCAGACCTGTAGTGAAGAGGATTGACACAGGTGATGTCTGTTGCTGCATTTATAATAACGCACAGTAGTAGTCAGCCAAGCCACACGCAAACGGGAGTAACACCTGTGGCTGCAGCAGACATCCAGAAGTCAGTCCCTTCAGTTAACTGTATCAGCTTTTGGCACTGACTTGACTCCTACTTACCTAGAGGCAATAGGTAGTAACCAGAGCTTTTTTTCTTCTCCAAACACTTGCTGAAGATTCTTTACAAAGCCAAGATTGAATCCATTTTTATCTGGGCCATTTTGAAACACTGGAGCTGAGAAAGCCTCTACATACAGATGCAATTTCAGTGAAAAAAATGAAAATCAATGCCAAACACTCTGAAACAGGATTGTGCATGTTGTAGCCATCTAAAGACATGATTTAACAGATTATAAACTAGCATGACGTAGTGGTTTTATTTTGCAAGCCTGTAAAGACTTTCAAACTCAAGGTAGGAATTTGGTCTTGCAACTGAACCATATGGAACAGTCAAACTGAGCTACAAACTGTTTAATCTAGAGAACAGAGTTAAAAAATCTTTGCATGAGACTTGTTGAAATTCAGCAGGTAGAAATTTCTAAGTAAAAAGTCTGCAGAATTAAGTAGGTTGGTCTTCAATGCATATTTCAGAAGTGGCACTGGAGATTTAAATTGCCTCATTCATTAATGATATAATGAATAAGGACTAAAAACAAACACACGCAAATAGACCCTCTGTTATGGAGAGCCATAAAATTAAGAAAAGAAAGAGAAGGGAGGAGAACCTAGAGTGCACAATAAACAATTTTATCCACCTTCTAAGCTGCTGCAGAAGTCTGATGTTTTGGGACAGATGAGCTTCAGTGCCCCTTGAAACGAGTTAATAACTATAACAAATCTGAATATTTGCTCAAACTCTTCATAGTGTGTGTTTTGTTATAAAACTTTATCCAAAAAGCTTTAAAAATTGAACAACATTTATCTGAAGAAAGCCAAAGAAATCACTCGATAAAATCACACTGTTTCAGATTTTCATTTCATTGTTTTTTACAGTCGTAACTTCTTTGCCTTTGTCAGTGAAGATGGACACTGTTCTTCCCAACCTTACTAAGCTGTTTTAGGATGCACTCCAGCATATGAGCATGAAGAACCATTATTCCTGAAAAGCTGCACTCATTTCACGGCCAATGTAGTTATACATATGCATAACATGTTTATAATTGGACTTTTACACTTTAAGGCTCTCATTTCCCTAACAAAGCTTTTGTCACACCAGCTAATAAATGCAGCTCATCTGAAGTGACAAATTTCTGCAGCACTGTGCCAAGATCTTAAATCTTCCTCCCCTCATAAGCCAGCGGGAATGTATAGAAGTAGAACCCCCCCGCC